ATCGTATCCGCATCCGTCAGATATCGGTCGGATATCGGATATATCTGTATCCGTTTCCAATTTTTAAAAACAAATTAAACAATACTTTAAATTTAAATTAGATTAAAGTCAAACTATTATTAAATCAACTACTACCTCCGTCCCAGAGTATTTGTCCACTTTCATTTTTACACATCATCCAATACATTTTTTTATTCCATTTTATCTTGTAATTTGTATATTAAAAAATTATAGAAATTATATATTAATAATCTATATGTTAAGACAAATCAAACAAGATCACACATGACTATGTTTAGGCTTACACATTGAGAGAATTTGTTGAGTCAAAGTGTTTAGATGAACAGTTCCCAAAGTCAAAAGTTGACGAATATTCCGGGACGGAGGGAGTATAATTTATTATGAGATAATTATTTTTTTTGTTTTCATAATTTATGATATCCTACAATAACTTTCGTATGATAAAAGTATATACACAACACACATATACACATATTTTTATATGTCTGCACATATATTTATGTGTCTATACACTTATTTATGTGTTTGCACATTTATTTGTGTATAAAAATGTTTTATACTTTGAAATATCATTAAAGAAACAAAATATAAACGAATATTTAAACGAATGCATATTCGGATCGGAGTTTAAACAGATCGGATATACAATTTCCAAATCTGTATCCGTTTAGCAATCGGATACGGATAATATCCGTTTGAAACGGATGCGGATATTTTCTCTTTAAACGGATACGGATGCGGACGGTAATCGAATTTTTGAGTTTCGACTATCCGTTGACAGCCCTATTCCTCCTCAGTTATCTTAGACAAATAGTCTGAGTGTAATTATTTGATGTTTCTTTTATTAATTTACTTCTAATATTCTCAATACATTTGTTAACAATTGTAATTATTTACTTTTGAATCTTTTTAAAGTCTAATAATGTTTATGAGACTTTTTATGTTGGGAAAGGTTCCCATGACATTGGGAACCAATGTCATGGGATGACCCGGGGGCGCTCCTGTGCCCCGTTCATAAAATTGATGGTTCCTACCCTCCCTAACCCCCCCGGTAAACCCCCCCACCCCGCCCCGACCCGAACACACCCCCCCACCCCGCCTCGACCCGAACACACCCCCCACCCCCTTCAATTGCACCCCACAAGTCGATTTTGACTTTGAAGTCAAAATTTGACTCCAAAGTCAAAATCGACTTGTGGGGTGCAATTGAAGGGGGTGGGGGGGGGTGCTCGGGTCGGGGCGGGGTGGGGGGGTTTACCGGGGAGTTAGGGAGGGTAGGAACCGTCAATTTTACGAACGGGGCACCGGAGCGCCCCGGGTCATCCTATAACATTGGTTCCCAATGTCATGGGAACCAAAGTGTTTTATGTTTGTATAAATTAAATGATTTGACAAAAATCAACTTTTTATTCATTTTCATTGCATTTAAATTACGTGAAATTTGCACTGAATAAAACTAAAACATAAGTCATTTTCCAATGTAGAACTTAAACTTTTTTATTTCCTAAATAGAACTTAATAATGACTAGTGAGAAGAATAATGTCTAAGTGATGTTGGACATTTACTTGAATAATGAGTAATAGATAATGACCAATGGTCTTACATTGAGAAACAAAAACATATGGTCCTATATTGAGAAAGTCATTATGTTTTAGTCATATTTAAGTAAATAGGAAGCAAGATCAAAGTAGGACTAAAACATTGCAAATATACCAAATAGGTCTTCTATGTTTTTATTCCCGAAATAGGACTTACGTTACTAAACATGGTCATATACATTACAAAAAAAGTATAGTAATGTGCACATGTAGACTAGCACATTACCACAGTACAAAATCACATTACCCAGTGCAAAGTCCTATTTCAGGAAAAAACATGTAATTCTTATTTTGATATTTTCTCTATGTTTTAGTCCTATTTATGGTGATTTCTATAAATTATTATACTTCACTAATCACTTATTAAGTATACAGATCTTTGTTTAGAAAAAATTACTTTAAATAAATTCATTATATATATCTTAATGATTTAAATATAATTCAAGATTATATATAAAAAGCAATTATTTATTTGTTACAATTTTTAATATAAATCTTTTGTATTCTAATCTCGAGGAATAAGTGAATAACTTTATTTTTTTAAATTGTACGGAGTAATTAATTTTTTAAAGCTCTAGATCCGATGAATAAGTGAGTAACTTTCTTTTTTAAAATTGCAATTAATTTTTATAGGTGAGCGATATATAATTCTTTTCGAGAGTTTCTTTACGATTATCTATCTCGTCAATTTTTTTTAACCGTTAGGATATTAAATGTAGTTGTTTTTGCACTATTTATTTTTCAATTTTTTAAATAACAACTACTCCCTCCGTCCTATAATGATATTCTCAGAGCACTATTCCAACTTCACGGGAATTTATATTTATTTGTGTTTTTTCATGGCCTATATGATAAAATAATATATTCTTGTCACCACTTGTTTTGTTGAACTTTTGGTGTAGTTTTTAAATATGTATGTTTTATTTTTTATTTATATACTAATATTTAAATAAAATAGATTTAAAAAACTTGGGATTTTTCTTCGTTTTGCGAATCGGGAAGATCATTATAGGACAGAGGGAGTACATTTTTAGATATTCTATTTCATAAAAATAAAAAAGTGATTATTGAGACCGGTGTCATGGGTGGCGGCGGAATCGTACCGGGTCCACCCCTACCTTTCGCACTTCTTGTCTTAGCCAACCACCCTGTGCACACCCGCAAATGATCCTCATAATCAGTTTGTCTTGAAAGTGTTCGTTCATCTCGGGTGAAATCCATCATAACACTCAGTGGCGGAGCCACATTAGTGCAAATGAATGCAATTGCACCCACTCTACTTTGGATATTAGTGTATATATACATACATATATAGCTTTGCAAGAGTTCAATTAATGAAGATGTACGTGTGGATTTTGATTTCAAAATTGCTATGGAGTCTGGAATTTCTATTCTTGTTTGAACACTAAAAGAAATTGGCCTGCATTTCTCGTAAATAATGATGCAAATGATATTCAACATTTGTCAAACTTTCTTGCACCCTATGTGTTTGACAAAATACCAAAGAGACCAAGTTTTATTTTTATGTCTCTCGCCGCTACTAGAGTGATGGACCTCCCTTGCACCCACTGGCTTTGGGTTCTAGCTCCGCCACTGATAACACTGGTAGAGTACAGTTATTATGGATCTCGGGTGAAAAAAGAGGTAGGGGATTCTATTCCTATTCGTTCCTATGGTCCCATGTATGGTAGCTAGGAGGAGGATCGGAGTAGAATCATTTTGCACGCTGGTTAAACTAACTAAAAAGACAATGAACAATACCCATACATGTCAGCCTGCATTTTTTCTCATCACCCAAAAATACAAAAGTCACTTTAAAAATAAAATAAAGCAGAGCATAATAATATGATACGAACACCCTTTTATTTGGTTTCCAGCTTATACTATGCTGTATGCATTACTGTACCTTCATCTTCTTCATCACCCATTACAAAAGATATACTTCTTCCTTCCTTAAAGGATTGCCACAGTTTGACGTTTACTGGTCGAACCGTGGCACCTTACTTATAATGTTAATTTAGTAAAATTAAGTTTATTTTAAATTAAATATATTTTTGAAATATCATACTCCCTCTGTCCACCATAGATCTTCTCAGACACTATTCACAGGGTCAAACTTTACTCACTTTGTTTGCTCAATTTTACTAGTCATTTCATAAAATAATATAATCTTGTCACCTCTAGTTTGGTAGAACTTTTCATGTAGTTTATTACTATATAAATTTTATTTTAAAATTTTACTCCTATAATCAATTAAATTGAATTGAAAATAAAGTCGGTCAAGCCTCGTAACGCGTAATGAGAAGATCATACATGGACGGAGGGAGTAATTTAATTTAAAAAGTCAAACAGTAACAATTTTTTAGAAGGGAAGTAGGAGTACAAGAAATAGTGTATCCCATGTCTTTTCTTCATCTTGATCAGAACATTATAAAGATATATAAGTACAAGAAATAGTGTTTTGTACCCTATACTATTACTATTACTAATAGTGTAAGAAAAAGTACAGTGAAAGCAACAGTACTTATAACGATGAGACTTAACGATGCTGCCTGCCCTCCTGATCCATCCCTCCCCCTCCTAATTATTGTACCTGTACCACTCCTTCTTTTTTACTCCCTCTCTCCCTAAATATTCATAACATTTGCTTTTTCAGTAGTGTCGGAAATTTTTGTTTATTTCTACGTTTTTATTGATTATTTGATAAAATAAAATATTCTTGACACCTCTTATTTCGAAGAACTTTTCATGTAGTTTTTTTATACGTAAATTTTATTTTTTATTTTTTTACCAATATGTAAATAAAATGAATTTAAAAAACTTGATATTTTGCATCAGAAATACAAATGTAGCAAAAATTTTGGGACAAAGAGAGTATTATTTTCTTTTCTTCCCCTCTCCTTTTCGTTTTTAAAGATTAAATTAAATGAATATATGCTCCTTAAATGTTACTGGCTGGCTGGCTTGTACTCATCATAGTTGTTGTATCTGGGCAGTACTACCAGATTTGTTTGTTAGTTATTACCAGTGTGCAGGCATTCTGGATTCATATGGCCTATACTTCAATTCCATGATTATTTAAACGTTAACAACTCAATTAAAAATTCAAGTTTGTAGTTGTGACTCAAGAAATATTTTTATATTCTTATACGCCTCTAACGTGTAGATGAGATTTGTTTTTTTACTCAAGCCTGGTTAGTTTTTTAAACTATATGACGCTACATTTCAAATTCAGATCTCTCGATTAATAAAATTTTGATATCATTTCAAAGAACCAATTCAACCAAAAATCTTAACCGTGGAGTTGTGGTTGAAGAATTATTAAAAATCAAAGGATAATGCTCATGCATCAATTCACACAGAAATCACATAATTACATTAGTAATAATACTAATTCATTACAACAATACTAATCCTAGTGATGGAGTAAAAACAATAATTTAAAAAAAAAAAAGAGGAATAAATAAAGAAAAGTAGAGAGTAAGTGTGTGTGAGGTCATGGGTCGAAGATGAGATTACCGCATTTGCATTTCCAGCTCATGGGCTTGTAGTTTGAACTGTAATTGTCGTCATCTCCCCGCCCGCTGGTGGTCCGGCGGGCACTTCTCCACCACCACAGCGGCGAAGAAGAAGAAGAAGAAGAATGCTTGATTATTCCGTTCTTCTTAGCGCCGGTGGTGGGAACCTGAATGGCCTCGCACTGCTGGCAAGAACCGCCGCATCTCCGCTCGCACCTCGGCGGCTTCGACCCCATCAACGCCGTCCCTCTCATTCCTCCAACCCTGCTGCTGCAAATCAAGAAAACGACGACGAAGGCGACTACGATCATCCCAACTCTTCTCCTCATTTTCTTGGTTACAATATTTCGTTTTTAAAAAAATAAAAGAAACAGAGAGAGAGAGAAGGAGAGATGAGAGTTTCAGAACAGAGCGTGAACCATATGTGTTTTCTTGGGTGGTTGTTTTATAAGGTAAATTATAAGGTAAAAAAAAGAAGATAAGGCGTGGGAGGAAGAGCCCGGCAGGCTTTATTTCCAATAATAATAATAATTCAGAGATTCATTCCTTAGCTTGAAGAAAACCCAATTCGGGAAAATTATTGTAAGCAGAGGGAATTGAATTGAAAAGAAAAGAAAAGAAATGAATGAATGTAAGGGTTAGTTGTTAATGATGGAATTTGCAGTAGTGGGGTGGATGGCTAATTTTAACAGATCAGATGAGAATGTGGCCGGAGGGATGGGAAAGAGAGGGATATATAAGTTTCCCAAAATGAGAGATTTCTTGCAGGACTGGACTGGAGGAGAGAGAGAGTTGGAGTTGGTTTCCATCAAAAAGTCATCACTTCTATATTCTTACCCCCCCATGCCTTTGCTTAGGTCAACACGTAGCTAACCTTTTCCTCCATTTCACTCTGTATGTGAATGAATATACTCATCACTCTCCGTTGTTTAAAAAAACTTTTATGGTAATTTTTTTAAAAAAATGCATTTTTCTTCAATAGTTTTAGCTTTTACCCTAGCCTCCTTGTCAATAAAAGTAAAGAGCCTTTAAAATTATGTGGCATAAACCATTGTGAAGTTAATTTTGGGAGAAGGAAGTATTTCTTTGGGAAAAAGGTTTTGATGTACGGTTTCATTTATGAGTTTCCATTAATCATGGGTTGAGTTTCTAATCACTATCAACTTGTTATTAGTAGAGCTAGATTTGATATTTCTTAAATCCATATCATTTTTTTAAAAAAAATTACACACACTATGATGTTTGATTTGTGAAATAGAGAGTAACTTTTATCTCTTAAAAACAATTCATTTTCTATTATTTTCGTGTTAAAATATGTTCTCTTTTACATTTCATGTTGATCTTTTCTGTCTTAAAATTTTAAAAAAATCTCATATTATATTTCCTTTTGAAAAAGGGATTATGAGAATTACACAACTTTATAACTCAAGGGAAGAATCATATGTGAAGTGAAGAAATTAATGGTTTGATGCACATTGAGTTTCACACATCTTGTGAGCCCCCAAAGCTCTGCGCCCCACAGTTTGGCAGCCACATTGAGTTCAGTTCCTCTTGTAGAAAAAGGTAATAAAATCAAATGGATTAGGTGTTGGGGGGTGGCTTAAGATGGCAAAATGGTCCAACAAAGTGCAAAAAGAAAACGGCTGGCCTTCTTTGAACCCAAACGTCCTTCATCCTCCCCATTATTATTATAGTCATGCCTTAAATCACATACAGTCTGTATGTGTGGCCCATACATAGCTTCTCCAACTACTCGTTATATACTTGTGAGGGTGCAGCTATGTGTACTCTAGACTCTACACCAAATCAAGAAACTTCCAAATTGTTTATGGCACTATAAGAAAGATGGTTAGTTGCATTCTACTCCCTCTGTCCCTAATAATATTTTCTGCTTTCGATTTTAAGTTGTTGTTGTTGAGAAAAAAAGATCTTGTTTCCGTTAGAGGAAGGAACAAGTCTTTCAGAATTTTTGTCTCTTTTGTAGAAACTTGTCATATAATTTCATTCTCCTTAAACTCTGTGGAAAAATAAAGGTTGAGTTCTTTTTAGGGGTGAAGGAAGTATATAGACATTTGTGAAATTTATGAAGTTTTGAAGGATTTGAAATGTTACAAGTTTTGTTGGGACTGCTCGCGGCTTCACCCTAAATTATATTAGTATGATATTATCCGTTTTGGGTACCTTTCAAAAGGTCTCATATTAATGAGTTGTGTTAAACCTATATACTCCGGTTAACCTCTTTGGCGTGGAAGTAAAATTTGTACCAGTTAACCTCTCTCTTCAAACTAATGGTCACACAATTCATGACCGCCCCTAGCAAAATCCGTTTAATTTGCCTACTGTCTTGCACCGCGACTACAACCTCGCGGGATACAAGGTCCGACCTCCTCTTGGTGGGAAGACGTTCAACACACTTTTTTATTTGCCAAATCATTTTGTACTGTCGTTAACACCAAACGAGACACGCCGTCCAACCTCCTGGAAAACTTCTGACACAAGACTCTACCTTACATATCATCTCTTCTAGTTTTAATCCGGTTCACAACATGCACATCATGAACTCTGCACAACGCAATCTGCCGCTCATGCCCGCACAAACCTGGACTCCGATACCACATGTTGTGACCATGCTTATCGTCAATTCAATCCCACATTAATATGTTATTATTTGCTCTTGACCAATCCCTCACTGAGTTTTTTTAACATCCCCTAAAGGTCTTATATTTATAGGTTGAATTGAACTTATTTAACATTTAAGATGAGTATTTTCTAATGCCCATGGGTATTTTAAAAATGCATACAATATAGGCTATTACACAATCACATGTTTCTTTTTTATGTGTTATACCTCCGTCCCATTTTATAATGTCTGTTTCGGTTTACGATGTTTGACTAAAATTATTTTCAAACCATTTTATATGACAAATGGTATAGGATTAAAAAATAAAAATTACATATTAAAAAACTAAATCAAAAGATCTACAAAACTAGTAGTGACAATAATATTTTATTTTATCAAATTGTTAACGAAAATAGAGAAAGAAAGTGAATGAAGTTTGACCCTGTGAATAATAAACAGATATTATAATTTGGGACGGAGGGAGTATGTAAATTGCGTGTTCAAATGTGAGCTTTCTGTTGTCTATCTTCTAGGCGATAATTAATGGATAATTTACCTAAATAAAACTGAAACATAATGACTTTCTCAATATAGGACCATATGTTTTTATTTTCTAATATAGGACCTTTGGTCATTATCTATTAGTCATTATTCAACTAAATGTCCGGCATCACTTGACATTATTCTTCTCACTAGTCATTATTAAGTCCTATTTAAGAAATAAAAAAGTTTAAGTCCTACATTGGAAATGACTAATGTTTTAGTCCTATTTCGTGCAAATTTCACTTAATTAATTTTTGATGTTTGGGTCTGTTTGAAATGTAGAAATCAAAAGGATGAATTCTTGATATTGAAGACTGGTTAAAAAGATTAACAAGTTACCCATGCCAAGCAATGAAATTATATCACACCATTAAAGAAAATTAATGGCCACGGTAAATCAATATGATTATAGGTTCTCAAACTATTCTACTTTGGGTTTGAATTTTCAGGTCTAGCTAAGATCAAATCCAAATGTGAACAAATCTTCAAGACTGGTCTAACTAATATACCACTATAGGTTTTATATTCCTTAGTAGTCATGACTTTTAGTGTATTTGTAATACATACTACGGGTAGTAGAGATAAGGCATGTACATTTCTTAATTTATTCAAAATTATCTGACACCAACTGTCTAGTTAAAAAAATGGCATCCCATGCAAATCCAAACAAAAATACTCACAAGCACGTGAAGACATGTTAGAACATAAAACATTTTTGTACCTGTATCCCTAAGATTGATCTTTTGATTGAATTGGTTTCTTCACAATTTGATTAATACATACTCCCTACAAGAGTATATCCTTGATACATAGACAACTCCCCAGACATGTTGGCATGTTGGAAATCAAATTACCAATGAGGAATGCAAATTTGGTGGTGCGACAAAAAGAAGTTACAATGTTTTGACTGAAACAGGATATGAGCAGTAGGGACAATTCCCATACAGAACATCAAATGACCTGCAAAACAAACATATGCAAATGATAATGGTGTCGATGCTGGTCAAAACAAACAAACATATGAAGAAGTGTAACATACTGTCTTGTTGTTGTGATGGAACGAAGCCAATCCAAAAGGCAGATACGGTGGAAGGCCTTCCGGCAGTTGTTATTCTTACATGTAATATCGGTTCCACACCCACTATCGATTCCTAGCTCGGCATCTACACATACAAGGACAACACTAAGTCAATGCCAGATATGATGCCAAGTTAGGGTAATAGATACATGAGATGCAAGAACTACCAATTGGGAGATATTGTGCATAACAAATCCCACATTCTTCACACAGCTGGTCACTCTTTGGTTCATTGGGATGTTCAGGTAATTGAATTTTCAATAAACTCTTGACATTTTCCACAAATGCTTTATCTCGAATCCTATTCAAAAGTTCAAACCTCAATTTCTAATTCAAGATTCAGATATCTAATAAAAATAATTTTAATGGTTTATCTCGGATCCTATTCAAACACTTCAAATCACAGTTTCTAATTCAAATACCTAAAAAAAATTATACCNAAACACTAAACAAAACAAAGTGTCATGGTAAACCTCTTAAAGTTCATGGAATCTGATACTCCATAATTCTAAACTTTATTTCTCAATTAATTATAACATAGATAACTTGGGTGTCATGATTAATGATTTTTGCTTTTATAAAACAACTCTTTTTAGGATTTTGGGTAAATAATATACTTTTTAAACCGGTGACTTTATTTAGGACAAACTCGGACAAAAAAATGATTAGAAAAACAGACATTTTAAAAGAAGCTACTTAACCATCTCCGGCAATTTCTCCTCCACGTTGCAACGAGTACATTCACCTCCGAATGTGGACCAATAAAACGGCACCTAACCGTACAGTAATCAGAAACAATTCATTTCCTTATATTTTGCACTAACCAATGCAGTATTGAAAGTGTTGAGAGAGCTCCTACTCTGGCAAAGCTTTAGGGTCGTCTGGGTCTACAGACAAAACGACATAGCAACCATTGCCTATAATAAAAGAAGCAAAAATTTGAGCAAGATGTAGAATACCTACGCTTGATTTCAATATGCAAATCCTCCTTGTTCTTAAACACCCAGACCTATATCTATTTGGCGATGCGATGAGGAAAACTGTGTCTGTTTAGGAGCACAAACCCGAAGGGAGCTGTCAATTTCATCCATTGTAGACCAAAACGGTTGAAGCTTGTCCAGATGCTGAAAAAAATATTAATAAAAAAGAGAAATTGGATTAAAATACTATGAAGTATGAACAATTGGATAAAAAACACCATGGAGTGTGAAATTGGCCAAAACATAGCCAAATATCGCTTCTGTTGGTCAAAAATAGTACTCCGACTTTATGGGTTGCGATCCAACTTTCCTAAGAAAAAAGATAATGCAAGTATGCAACTAATATTTTCGAGAGAATATGATAAGAAACCGAGGTTTGCAAAAACAAAAAAAGCAGCACAACTTGCCTGCCCAAACTGATCAAGAAGATTGCTTAGCTTTGAGTGAGGAGACCATTGCAAACTGAAGATGCTTGGCACATCCTAAAAGATTAGATTGCGATTACTAGTTCCAAATTTGTGCAGATTGAAGTGCCATAAATCAGAACAAATTAATGAAAGAAAACCGACCGCGGATACTGAGGGGGGAGATTTTGGATAGGCTTTATCCAATTCTATTCCCACCATATGCGTTCTTCCCTTCTCGTCTCTGCAACATCAAAGTAACAGCTTAACGATGATCCGTATATCCACTCTATCCATTAACTGGAAGATGGCCATAAGAAGGATGAAATCCTTACATTATACGGAAACTAAGAGATGTCAAATCTTCCCCCAACCTAACGAGATTTCCCCAGCCTATTTCTTCTATCTGTGCACAATAAGACGATTACACAGTTTATATTCTACTAGGAATCGAAAAAATTCAAAATCGAATGAATATTATGCATAAAGCATTCGATACTTAATGGATGATGGATGAATTCAACAAGACAGCAGAAATGAAAAGGTAAAATTCAACCACGAAAAATCTCAAGACACTGATTATCAGTATTATTACACTCACTTCGGAATAGATCTTGCGGTAAAACGAAGAAGACGCCGCCAGCTGCTGGCATTTCTTCTGATCAGTATACATCTGGAAAAGGAAAAAATAAAAATTTGTAACAAGAATTACAGTGTAGCCGAAGAAGCTTCAATTAATCATCAATGTCCATCTCTCCACCCAACCTGGGGTACATGAAGAAGACGCTGCACACGGGAATTGGGCTGAATGTCACTAGAGATCGTTTCATTGGGCCACCTTCTCGTGGATGGGCTTAGTTGGCAATTGGCTCAAAGTGTGTGGATTAATTTTGAAAAATTCTGCAATATAGGTACGTTTTGGAAATAACCTACTCCCTCCGTCCCAGAGTATTCGTCCAGTTTCGACTTTTGGACTGTTCATCTAAGCACTTTGACTCATCAAATTCTCTCAATGTGTAAGCCTAAATATAGTCATGTGTGATCTTGTTTAATTTATCTTAACATATAAATTATTAATATATAATTTCTATAAATTTTTAATATACAAATTACAAGATAAAATGGATTAAAGAAGTGTATTGGATGGTGTGTAAAAATGAAAGTGGATAAATACTCTGGGACGGAGGTAGTATTTAGTTAACGTTACAAATTTGGATTATTGCTACCATAAGATTTTTTTTTTTTTGAAAATACCATAAGATTTTTTTTATTAAATGTTAAAGCTAAAAATTTAAAGTGTGGGCATTTCAAAGAATACTACTCTTTCTTCTGCATAATTTTTAATTGCATGATTTGTTTTAGATACCATTCACTTCGTTTGCTACTCAATAATAAATAAGGAGTACTCCGTAACATACTAAGAAGTAATTCAATCAAAAGCTTAAATTTATGGTTGAATTACTTTGTTAGTATGTTATCAGAATCTTTGTGATACAGATATTACGAGCTCGAACCATACAACTAACCGGCCACTTACATTAAATGAATGATTGTTCACGTACAAGCCTTGAGTAAAAAATAAATTTCACCTGCACGAGGAAGCGTACGTATTAGATATTAAAACCTTCCTCAGGCATAGGGTTAAGAGGCTTTAATTTGTTCTCTCTGTCTGATCTGAGTGATTCATATCTCCATCTTTAAAGGTCTCATCTGATTTTTCTGTACTACTTTGATTATAATATAACTTAAAGTTGATATTGATATAATCTGATCATGTTTTAATAAAAAAAAGTTAAAACTAGAAATAGAAGGTGAAGAGAATGATCGAGGTTTTACGCAGAGTCACAAAACTTGAATTTGTGGTTGGGTTGGTTTTGTTGGGGCACTATTTATCCCTTCACTTAAAAGAAATGCAAGTCTTATGACTTGTTTGGCAAGCACATGAGATATATGTGTTCTAATATATCTCGATATCTGAATCTCATTGTGTGTGTTTAATAAAATCAATATAGGAACTAGATTTGATGTCTCCAATCTCGCAATCCTATCAAATAAACATATTTAGAAATCTTAAGGTTTTGAAAAAGATCGACCAATTTGGGAAGTTTCATATCTTTTCAACTACAAGATGCCGACAACCACTTCTTCTCATTAACAACAATACCATATCCCAGGCAAACGACGCAGACACTTGCGGAATACATCCTACAAGTATCATTAGTACAAGATGCTTAAGGAGTTGCTTCAAGTAGAAAAGTTGATGTGGAACTTACGTGAAGCACGTGTGTAGCACGAGTTGTTTCATTTTTCAACAAAATTGTTGTATTTGAATTAAGAACTCTAAATTTGTGTAAGTAACCCCATTAAAGATGCTCTAAAGAAGGTCTAAAAGAGGCAATAATAGTGGGAGAGATGACAAGAAAACAGAATCCAAGCGCGTTGAAGTACATATCTCACATTTGCGTGAGTGATGGATGGACTCTTTATATTGGAGTATAATCTTTATATTTTATTTTTTTTTGGAGTACGTATAGAATGTAAACTTTATAATTAGTGCTAATTTAAGGTCAAACACATTACTGTAGCTAACAGAAACATATTCTCTGTATATTAATTAAAAGGCCGGCCAAGATATGATAATATGATATGATAGCTGATGGTTCTAATTAATAAGAATAATAATGATAATGTGATAGATGATAATTAATGAATGGCCATGCATATTGCACCTTATATAATATCATCCATTACCGCATGCCTCTAAACAAACAAAGTTATCCCCGAAAAAACGCGGCCAAATTAGATTGCTTCTGTCGTTTTATATACTCCCGAAAGGACACAAAAAACCACCTCCCTTGGTTTCGTTCTCCAAAAAGGTGAAATCGCTCACCCCGGGCGCCCCTCACCCCCGACCCGACGGGAATGTGACCTCCCTTGGTTTCGTGTCATTAAGATTAGTGTTGATCACTCCCGCCTCGTTTGGCATCAGCATTAGATATTAGCGTTGGCGTTTTGAAAAGGTTATTTGATGGTAACTTTTAGCGTTAGTGTTTTCAGAATTAATTTACACCCATTAAAATTTTATCCAAAACACTATCAAAAACGCTGTTCTCTAACACGACATTCCTCCCTAATGAGGATATATATTTCCACGCCCCCAGAAAAAAGCCATATTTGGGTCGGAATAGATACTTTTAATCTGAAGTTGAGAATTTCATATTTCATTTTTTGATGTGACTCGACTCTTTTTTAGATTATATTTGAATCTGAAATGCATAAATATTTTCTTATGTTAACAAAATATCTTACTATACATTTGTAATACCTAGTATTATTGTTCGAAATCTCATTAACAATTTTAAATTCACTATTTATTTGTATCCCGTCGGGTGTGATATAAGGTAAGAGTTGAAACGTAGGCTGGAATAATTTTTTTTTAAAATGAACCCGTATCTGAATCAAGTCCAATAGAATTGAGTGTATTGTATACCCGGCTAACGGGTCTGAATAAAAATTAGGTCCAAGTCCATAATTTTTGATGTAAAAGTACACATTTTGACTAACTCGCATGTGTAGTTTTTAAATAGTGAAATTTGCACTGAATAAGATTAAAATATAAATCATTTCCCAGTGTAGGATTTAAACTTTTTTTATTTTCTAAATATGACTTAATAATGACTAGTGAGAAGAATAATGTTCAAGTGATGCTGGACATTTAGTTGAATAATGACTAATAGATAATGACCAATGGTCCTACATTAGGAAACAAAAATATATGTTCCTATATTGAGAAAGTCATTACTCCCTCCGTCCGGGAAAACATGAGAGTTTTGGTTCTGGAAAGTGGTTTAAGGGGAGTGTATTTTGGTATTGAATTTCCAAAAATGTCTTTTGATGTGATGGGTAAAAATATGATTTGATGGATATATTATTAGTAAAAAAGTATGATGGGGTATGTAGGGTATGAAAAAGTAAGGGGTAAAAGTGACTTTTTAATAGAAATGAGGAGTATTTTTTGGACGGATGAAAAAAGAAAGGAGAATAGTTTTCTGGAACGGAGGGAGTATATTTTAGTCCTATTTAAGTAAATTACTCATATGTTCATATTTTGTGGATTTAATAATGCGCAATGAGCAAATGCTTCTGGTACTTGGAAACAAGAACATCTCAAGCTTGACATTTTTTTTTTCTTTGGTCTCGCTATGTCATCGAGAAATTGAAGAGTTCACTTTAGTTTTGGTGTTGGCTTTTATTAGTCTTCAACTTTGAATGTTATTTTGCACATTTTTTTGTGTGTGTTTAATGACCAACATATCAAGTATTATCCGATCCCAAGTGGACTACATGTGGAGTGGACTCACCTGCACCATTTGTAGAATACCGCATTCAACAAGACTTTTATACTTTATTTTGTTTACACTTGGATACACACCCCATTATGTGTTGGGAAACATTCCAATCTCACGCTATGATAACACAAAGAAATTAAATCTAAATAAAAATAACTTCAGTCCAATCAATTACGAAGTATTAGATTTTTGAAAATACTCATATACAAATTTGTGAAAATGGAAATACATTTTAAAAATGGGTGTGTGGCTATTAAGTTTATTTAGTTCGTCCCTAAAGAACCTCGCAGAGATCAGAATTTTTAATTACTTCTGGACTCGGATAGTTAGTTGGAACTTCCAACACACCAATGAAACACTTCAATTCCGGTCATTTATTTTCTAGATTTGCCACTGTCTCATCACCTATGCTCCTCCCTTCCCTTCTCTGTTAGTAAAATATTTTTTTCATATCTTGTAATAACCAAACATAAAATTTTTTGAAAATTTATTTTTTTGCCAATTGCTCTATTAATGAATTTTTTTGGATAAAGCTACTTGTACCTCAACATTTTGTACCCCACTTTGTATTCCGCAGGTTTACACCAACATTTTGTGTTGGTGTAAAACTAATTTTTGTTAACGCACCAATACTTTGTGTCTGTGTAAATTTTTGTTAACGCACCAACATTTGTATTGGTGTAAACTATCAAAATGTTTGTGTATAACTGTGGTGTACAAATGAGGTACAATTTTTGATGTAAATATAGCGTGGTCCTTTTTTTACTCTCTTTTTCTTTCTTTAGTACGAGTATCTTTTTTTTTCTCTCGTAAAGAAAATTGCGGGCAAGCAAGTCATTATTCATGCGTGTCATGGCGCAAGCAATGACGAAGTGATTGGGGATGGTGAGCTAGTTTCCTGGAAAGTCCCCTTAAAAATGTGACTAAGAACAAGTCTCCAAAAAAAAGTTACTTATACGGTGCAATTGAAAGATGTGGAGGGTGTTTAGGTCGGAAGGAGTGAGGGGTTTACGAGGATGGAAGGGTTAAGAGGTGTAAGAATCGTTGATTTTACGAACTGTGCACCAGAGCAACTCCGAGTAATTCCATTATGTTGTCGGGCAATTTCATGAGAAACATCTCCTATTTTGATATCAAAAAGTAGAAGATTAAACAAAGTGAACAATTATATTCAAAGTACAACAGTTGTTCAAAGTAATGCTCCATCCCCTGTATTTGTCCACTTTCATTTTTGCACACCATCTAATATATTTCTTTAATCCATTTTATCTTATAATTTGTATATTAAAAAATTATAGAAATTATATATTAATAATCTATATGTTAAGACAAATCAAACAAGATCACACATGACTATATTTAGGCTTACACTTTGAGAGAATTTAATGAGTCAAAGTGCTTAGATGAACAGTTCTAAAAGTCAAATGTGGACAA